TTCATATCTATTTATCTATCTATCTATCTATCTCAGTCTTTTCATAACTATCTATCTATCTATCTCGACCTGCTGATATCTATTTCAGCCAGTACATGTGATCTATCTATCTATCTATCTATCTATCTATCTATCTATCTATCTATTTCAGTATGTTCGTATCTATTTTCAGTCTGTTCATATCCATCTATATATATATATCTATTGCAATCGTTTCATATGATCTATCTATCTATCTATCTATCTATCTATCTATCTATCTATCTATCTATCTCTCTATCTATCCCAGTCTGTTCATATCTATCTATCTATCTATCTATCTATCTATCTATCTATCTATCTATCTATCTATCTCAACCTGCTGATATCTATTTCAGCCAGTACATGTGATCTATCTATCTATCTATCTATCTATCTATCTATCTATCTATCTATCTTTCTATCTATTTCAGTATGTATCTATTTTCAGTCTGTTCATATCTATCTATATATATATCTATTGCAATCGGTTCATATGATCTATCTATCTATCTATCTATCTATCTATCTATCTATCTATCTATCTCAACCTGCTGATATCTATTTCAGCCAGTACATGTGATCTATCTATCTATCTATCTATCTATCTATCTATCTATCTATCTATCTATTTCAGTATGTATCTATCTGTTTTCAGTCTGTTCATATCTATCTATATATATATCTATTGCAATCGGTTCATATGATCTATCTATCTATCTATCTATCTATCTATCTATCTATCTCATTCTTTTCATATCTATCTATCTATTTCAGTATGTTCGTATCTATCTTTTTTTTTAGTCTGTTCATATCTATCTATATATCGATTGCAATCGGTTCATATGATCTATCTATCTATCTATCTATCTATCTATCTATCTATCTATCTATCTATCTCAGTCTGTTCATATCTATCTATCTATCTATCTATCTATCTATCTATCTCAACCTGCTGATATCTATTTCAGCCAGTACATGTGATATATCTATCTATCTATCTATTTTAGTATGTTGGTATCTATCTATTATCAGTCTGTTCATATCTATCTATATATATATCTATTGCAATCGGTTCATATGATCTATCTATCTATCTATCTATCTATCTATCTATCTATCTATCTATCTATCTATCTATCTATCTATCTCAACATGCAGATATCTAACTATCAATTTCAATTTTTAATATAAAATAAACAGCTTTTAATAAATTTATTTTATTGAAATGGCTGCTGCCTTTTATTTTTAAACTATTGACATTTTTGTCTGTGTCAAAAGAAAATGTTGTTTGGTTATAAAATGTTGGCACTGTCTATCTGAATGTGTTAGTAGCAAGGGTAGGGTGGTGTTTATCTCCAATTGCCTCAGATCTTCGTCTATGACCAAACAAACACCAAGGTTTCAAAGGTTAATTTTCAAGGCAAGTTGGTATTCCATCCTTACATATGATACTGGCTAACACCATTTTCTCTTCCAACGATTTTGGCAAAGACCATCCGTCTTTGAACCTTCCGGACAGGCGCTAGACAATCACAAAGAACTGTATCAAATAACAGAAACCACATCACATGAGGACTTCCAACGGCAGCAACAACTAAAATGGATAGCACACATAACTTAAAGAGAAAATACTGACATCTTGACATTCCGCATTACATCAAACAAAAGTCGGTTCATATGATCTATCTATCTATCTATCAATCTATCTATCTATCTATCTATCTCAACCTGCTGATATCTATTTCAGTCAGTACATGTGATCTATCTATCTATCTATCTATCTATCTATCTATCTATCTATCTATCTATCTATCTTAGTCTCTTCATGTCTCTCTGTCTCACTTGGTCTTTTCATATCTATCTATCTATCTATCTATCTATCTATCTATCTATCTATCTATCTATCTATCTATTCCTTCCTTCCTGCATCTCTATCTATCTATCTATCTATCTATCTATCTATCTATCTATCTATCTATCTCAACCTGCTGATATCTATTTCAGTCAGTACATGTGATCTATCTATCTATCTATCTATCTATCTATCTATCTATCTATCTGTCTGTCTATCTATCTATCTATCTATCTATCTATTCCTTCCTTCCTTCCTGCCTATCTATCTATCTATCTATCTATGAAACTCCCTATCAATAGTGGATAATAGCTACTGGACTTGAGAAACCTGTTCTTTTTAATTGCTTAAAAAAAGATTTTACAAACTTCAACGGAAATCAGTACTAGCTGCCTGGTCATAGAATGTTTCCTTGTAGGGAAACTGGTATTACCGCCATTATCATTTTAGTCCTGGGTATGACAATAAACGACATCCGGCAGTAAGCAACTGATCAAGAGATTGGACGTTTTCAGGAGCATGAAACTACCTCTTAATTGCTGTTGTTTCCAGGTCCACCCTGACCCGAGGTGGTAGCACCGGTTAGGGTCCCAGCTATGAGCAAACAGTGAACCCCCAAGCAAAACACTGTGAAAGTATAAAAATAAATTTTTATATAGTAAAAATACCAGCAAAACATACATTTTATAGTAGAATTACCAACAATACATTCTATAGAAATATGATCACCAATACATTTTATCTATAGTTGAAGATGCATTACACCCCCTAGAGAGGGCGCGATATAATATGGCCTGTGCACCCCAAATAAATATAAGTCTGCGGTAGTTGAAAATAATATAGGGCAAAGGTGCCGGAAGATAATAATGCATACAAAAGCCCAACTAGCGTCCAGTTGGCAGAACAAAAATAAATGGTCACGTAACTCAATACACAACCCGTCCAGGACCTCTGCCCACAAAAACCAGGGTGTTTGCATTTCGCCTCCTCCTCGGATAATGGAGTTTAAGCATTAATTGGGCCTGTATCAGTTATGTGCCATGCCTGATACACGCTTAGACGATTATGTGTCTTTCGATACATGACTGACGAGGCAGATTTTTCCCGCAGTAGGTTCCCATTTCTTTCTGCGGTAGACCAATTGGCATTCAACTATAAAATCCGGTCTGCTATTTACCCATAGAAGAGGATTCATACCTTTCCCAAGGGCATTAGCACATAAGTAATGGATTCGACTGGAAATCGAACTCGGTTCTCCCATTCCTCAATCCGAGCTGCTATCCTTTATTCCAACGTACCTTAATATTTAAAGAAAATAAAAACAGAGGTGCTATAAAAATATAAAACTGTTCACAAAAGGTATTCGGACTAAGTTCGTAATACTGAAACAACTAAAAAGATATTAGATTTATTATGAATCTAAATGAACTTACTATATTAAATTGAAGGGAGTTGGGTAACGCAATGAAGAACAAGGTCAAGGTCATGAAGATATATACCGTCTGCTTTTTTTGAACGGAGTAGCGAAGAGGAATACGATAAAGGCATACAATTGTGTTCAAAATATATTTAGTTGAAGACATAAAAAATTTGTTCAAAATATTTAGATTTTGACATTAAATAACCCATAGAGGTGTTGATATACTGCTCAAAAATAAACCAACCAACCACGACCATTTGCGTTTCTTAGTTTTATGTACTTGTAAAATTCTCAGTCCCTACGCGTTTTTAAGTGTTTAATTCACCGATTTTTTTTGTATACTTTTCTTACCTTCCTTTTCCATCTCAAAATTTTCCCTTCTCTTGTTAGCTTACTTTTATTTAACATTTATTTTTATATCAGTCCATTTTAACGTTTCTTTTTTCATTTCTTTTTTTTTTTTTTTTTTTCGTCGCCAAAAGCCTGTACATTTTAAAGGATCTCAAATATTTCCCGCCTTTCTGTATTCTTTGTAGATATGAAAGTAATCTGACCCAACATCTTAGATCTATTTCCCCTCTTTCTGGATTTGAATCTTTTCGAGCCAACGAGTGCACGGTGTACGCGTGCGCGTGCAGAGTCATGTGACCATATAGATGTAGCTATTAAGCCAAGTTTATTTTGCCGATCTCCAGGTCGCAACTTTGACGCACACAGCAACTAGAGAACTAACAGCAAATTAATAATGGCCTCCACAACTAGTTCGCTAACTATTTACTCACACCAACGACGGGTCCAGTTTCTCTTTCATGGAGTCCTTGATCCTTCATCGACCCTTAGGCATGTGCAAAAAATATCAATAAAAATTTCTTTTTTTTTTTTTTATTTCAGAGTGGTAAGAATGGTTGTTGGGATTCAAAGGGATTTTTTTATAGTAAGATTCACCCCGTGCAAGGACCGGGGCCCACCCGAGGTAGAGGGTTATAATAGAAGGCAGTTTGTATGGGTAAGAGGGGAAGATAACGATAATTCTAGCCTCGAACAGGTTAAGATTGTAGTGATCGGGGAAGCACCCTCTTGGGAGTCGCTTCCTGTTATAGTGGAACACACGTATTCTATAGTTAATAGACTCTCCCACCTATAATAAGTAGTAGTAATAGTCGCTAGGTCGCTCAGTGAGTTGGTCAGTCAGTCGATGCCGGACGGCCGTTAGTCGGATATTAAAGTATCAGCCACCGTAACTAGATTACTGTGTCATTACCTATTATATCAAGTTCCTAACGTTTTGTACGTCGAACCTATTTTAAGACCGACTTGGTACAAATACAAGCCTCTACTGTGAAACTATTCTACAACAGTTCCACAGAGCAGTGCTTCGCGGGAAGAAGCTGTTCGAGTGGAACTTACTTTTCACCGATTTAATACGGAGGGAACGTGGGTAGGTTTGCTACTATGTACGTGGCAAGACGGGTTCTTGCCGAGAAGGTTTGGCTTGGCGGAACCAAGGAATGTAGTTCATCCGAACACTTTCACTTTCAGGGACAGACTTGTTACATCCCGTCTGTGAGAGAGAAGATGGAGGGTGGAAAATAATTCGTCACCCGCAAGGACTCGTTGGAATCTATCGAGGTTAGAAAGTGAGGTTTGGGTGTTTATAAAAATATACCCCTCTACATATATTATTGAGACGGGTGTATTTTTTTTGCCATGTTTTCTTTTGAATCGTTTGTTCGCAAAATTTTTCCTTTCCTTGATCGAAGGAGTGAGAAACGAGATCTGGTTAATTCTTCTTCTTCTTCTTCTTCTTCTTCTTCTTCTTTCTCACTTCTTTTTTCTTCCTCACTTACTCTACTTTCTTCTCTCTCACTTCTTCTCTCTCACTTCTTTTCTCTCACTTCTTCTTCCTCTTCTTCTTTCATCTTTCTTTTCTCTCACTTCTTCTTCCTCTTCTTTTATCTTTCTTTTCTCTCACTTCTTCTTCCTTTCTTTCTCTTTTTTCTTCTTCTTCTTTCTTCCCCTTCTTTTTCACTTCTTCCTCTCCTTTCTTCACAATTTCTCTCACTTCATTTATCTCTCTCATTACTTATGTTTTCTTTATTACATCATTTCCTCTTCTTTCGAATTTCTTTTCTCTTATTTCTTCTTCTTCTCCTTCCTTCTCTCTCTTCTTCTTCTTCTCCTTCCTTCTCTCTCTTCTTCTTCTTGTTATTCTTTCTTCTCTCTTCTTTCTTCTTTCTCATGTATTGTTTCTCATCTGTTCTTTTTCTTCTTCCTCTCTTTTCTTCTTTATTCACTCTCACTTCTTCTTTCTTCTCTTTCCTTTCTTCTTCTTCTTCTTCTTCTTCTTCTTCTTCTTCTTCTTCCTCTTCTTCTTCTTCTTTCGCTTCTTTCTCTTTGAACTGTCTTCCTGGCCCCATCCTTTCCAGACAACTTTGATCTTCAAAAACTGAAAGGCAATTTCAATCGTTATCTACTGACTTATCAATTACTTTAATTTTATTATCCTCGTTCCTCCTCCTCTTCTTCTTCTTCTTCTTCTTCTTCTTCTCTCTCTTCTTCTTCTCTCGCTTTTTTCACTCAGTAACCCTTTGTGTCTTAGTGGTTTTACAGCCCTGCTTGGGGTGAAATGATTAAAAACATAATAATAATTATTTTCGTATTAAACTACAGTAGTTTTTTTAATTTATTTATGCACACTATTAAGCCCGTTTTTTTGTTGTTCTGTAATATCTTATTATAAATAAGCTCGTCCCTCCGTTAGTTCCTTTGTTAGCACGACCGTTACTCCCTGCCAATACCTCATAAATAATGATCTATTCCTTTTTTTATTGTGTGGAAAGACGCAAAAGATATTTCAAAGACGTTAATTGATTTCAGTGAGAAAATGAAAGAAGGAAAGAAGAAAGATAGGAGTGTTTAACGTCTACTGTCAGTACCTCATAAATAATGGACTATTCCGTTTTTATCCCGTCAGAAGCCAAAACATATCAAAGACGCTACTTGGTTTCAGTGAGAAGATGAAAGAAAAATGGAAGGTAGAAGTGTTTAACGTTTGTTCCAGATCTTTTCATTAGTTCCTACTTTTTAGAATAACGATCAATATTCATATTTATGATTGTTAATGCAATATTTTGTTAAAGTTGGTAAGCTCAAATATTTAACGATGCGATAGGGGAATTTTTACTGATATTTTATTTTCGTAGAATTCGCGATGAGGTTATTGAATCATTAACTTAAAAATTAAGTTTCTTCAGAAAATTCAAATAAGAAATCTGAAATTTTCACGGGTCTTCCTAGTTAATATTAATTGTAATGGTTAGAGCAATATTAGCCGTTTCTTTATAAGGAAACATTCTATATTCATTGATTGCGTATTCAAACCTGCTGTCGGCTGAAATTTATAAAATCTTTCTAGTAAAACAATTTTTTAGGAAAATAGGTTTACAATTGTTTTATTTCAGGTTTTTTAATCGTTCAATTTCGTTTTCTTACGGTTTACCAACACTTTATGGTTATTTATGCTGAAACTTATGTAGGATCTAAATTAATTTTGCGAGTCAATATTTTGATAATGACAATGATTATTCCAGTTCTACCACTTAACTCATAGCTGAAAGAAGAAGATGGAGTCAGACTTTTCCGAATGTGAGCTGCTCGTAAGTGAATGAGGCGAACCCGACCTGGAGCCTGTTTACTCTTCACCTGTGAGAAAGTTATTCAGTGCCATACCGAAGGATTGGTATTCAGGTAGATCCCATGCCTTAAGCGCTTATTGGGACTTAAAGACCCAGGCCTCAAGTGGAACTTGTACATACGAGCCATCGATAAAAAAGGCTGTATAGCAAGTACCTCACTCCTCATAGTACCTTTGCAGGAGCCAGATCAGCCCAAAAATGGAGTACGGCTGCCATATATTGGCGGGAGATTTCCACTCTTCATTTTACACTCTCGACAGAGTCCAAGAGAGTCTCTGCAAACTTGTAGACGACTATTAGGTTGGTGCAAAAATAATGACGTAATAATGTCGTTTTTGACGTATTTTTTAACGTCAAAAACGACATTATTACGTCATTATTTTTGCACCAACCTAATAATTATTTTCCCCACTGCAACTGTTTGTCACAATCCTCTTGTTGCTTTATCGCGATTTTCCAGGCGTACTTAAATTTAAAAATCTATAAACCTTAAGATGTTTTTCACTTCATTTTATAAATACATGATGCTAAATAAAATCCCTACATTTGTCTTCATAAAGTACATCAGAGGACGAAGGACGAAAAGCGTTGGTAAACAATGGTGTTTCCTTTTGTCTTCATTCATATACCGGGTGATTGAAAATAACTCTCCATTTTATGTATAATGGACTGTCCCGACTAACGATAATTTTTACAAGACGGGAGATTCCATCATACATAAAATAGGGATTCAATATATATATATATATATATATATATATGGGCAGCATATCTTCATTCAAGCATGTTTGATTGAATAGTCTAGACATACGTCTATTTATTTTTATTTTAATGATCATAAATTCCCGGATCATTTTGTTTTAGAGATGTTACAAAACTGATTAAGAAATTGTTATATAGGAATAAAGTGTCGCTGCCGACACTGGGGTTTGAACACAGATCACCAGAGAGCAAACTTAGGCGATCCCATTCTGAATAAGTAGATCATGTGATGGAAAAAGAAATGTATATATGCGAATTAGCACGACGTCTGTGTGCTTGTCAAACTCTCTGCCTTCGGGCAGAGTGGAACACAGACGAGGCTATGCCGAAGGGCAGAGTTTCGTCTGTGGTAGTAGCCAGCAATCCGACCCCTTCTTACAGGGTCTACGGGAAATTTTGGCCCGAGTCTAAGGACTCGGATACCTCACTATAAACTTGGCCTTATGCCACATCCGGCTAGAGAGGAACCAAGACAAGGCTATGGCGAAGGACAGAGTCTCATCTTGGGTGGTAGACGGCTACCCGACCTCGTTTCAACGTGTTCTACGGGGAATTTTTGACCGAGACTACGGGCTCGTTTACCCACAATAAACTTAGCCTTGTGCCGCATCCGACCACGTGGGGCGATAGGTAAATATCTCACTATCAGAATTACATCGGAAGTGAGCTTGTCAAACACTCTGTCTCCGGACAGAGAGGAACACAGACAAGGCTGTGCCGAGAGGCAATGTCTTGTCTGGAGTCGTAGACAGCTACTCGACCCCGTTTTTTGATGCAGTCTACGGGGAATTTTTGCCCGAGCCTACGGGCTCGGCCCCACAATAAACTTGGCCTTCTGCCACATCCGATTGCGTGCGGCGGTTAGCGGATATCTCATTATACGGATTACTATAAGAATCACTATACTATTTCTCTATTCGGATTACTATTCGGTGGTTACTAATCCAGCGAGTATTATCGAGCAAGTACTATTAGTGCGAGTGATATTCGAAGGCGTCTGACACCAGCATTGTTCAACGGCGTTACTATACTTGTATCTGCGATTACAAAGTATATACTACAACAAGCATTACGTAAGTGACAACGAGTATTCGTTGACATCACAAAACATTATATGTACATTCTTGAATATCAAAGTTGACTAGGAAACAATAATCCTGAAGAGAGTTCCAAAAACGACAAGTGCGATAGAAGAAACAGCTAGCATAGAACTTACGGTTGCATCTTGCAATTTCAACACAAAATCACGAAACTTTGTCTCCAATCTAGCACGGCGCTTAAATTCATAATGTCTAGGCACCATAGCGAAGAGATTATCCGTACAATTACCATGAAAATATCAGGTCATCCCATAAGTTCTGTCCGAATTTTAACTTTTTGTTAAAATGAACGAAATTTAAAGAGTATTTTATAATGTCTAATGGAGCTGAACATTATTTTTATGTTTAGATGCATTTAAACCGATCAAATGTTTATTTCAGAGAACAATAAAATTAAATTTTGTTTGATTAAAACCCTGCTAACATGAAAGTACCCAAGGAACATTTGTGGCACATAATGCTTTATGAGTTCAAGAAAGGAAACTCAGCAGCCGAAGCGGCTAGAAACGTTACTATTCGAGCGAGTATTATCGAGCAAGTACTATTAGTGTGAGTGATATTCGAAGGCGTCTGACACCAGTATTGTTCAACGGCGTTACTATAGCTGTATCTGCGATTACAAAGTCTCTACTACAACGAGCATTACGGGAGTGACAACGAGTATTCGTTGGCATTACAAAAGAAATACACCGTAGTTTTGGTTATTCCTTTTATTTTCTCAAGATCATCTTCAGGGGTGAGACAAAGAATTAATGGAATTGATAGGGCGGGATTTTTTTGTAAATGCGCATGAAACACTCTTCGTTATAGTCAATTTAAAAGTTAACTGTTAAGAGTATGCAAAGGAGGTAAGGTAATTTGTTTTATTTTATTGTTATTGTTTCAAAATACTCAACCTGCAATTAAAAAAAAGACTTTCCAATTTGAGTATCCCAAAACATTCTTTTATAGGCATTTTTAAACATAGTTACTATACTCATAATTAATATTATTTAGTGTTGGCAGCATTCAATTTAAATTTCCTTTCGTAGATTGTATCCCTGGCAAAATAGTAAATAGTTGGTCTCACAACGAGAACATTATCGAGAAGGCTTACATTACACATGTCGGATTCAAGTTCGATTGCTCAACATTTATAAGAATATTCCTGTTCACATTCACGTTTTAGAGAAATATTAATCGACAATATAAATATTACTGTACTGTACTGATGCGGCATTCACCCTGGGCGGATTGAGCCGGCTTCTTCCTGTTATGAGAAGAAGATTCTTGGGATAAATTACAGAAGTAGGGTACCCAGGCCTACTCGGATAACGTTCTTGCTTGCCGCGGGGTTCCCACAGACGCAGAGACAGGACAAGACAGACAAGAGACCAGAAGCCGCCGGTTACCGATGCAGACGCTCCTTGGATTTTCACCAGAGCCCTTGTTAGTTGCCGGCGTGTGTGTCAGACCTGTCCGCCTTGGTGGCCCTACCAGGAACGAAGTTCCGGGCGGCATAGCTCTGACACTACTGTTTACACCCCCCACCGACTGTGAGGTAAGGGTTGGACTAAAATATACAGTACCATGAAAATAAAAAAAAATCGCTCTATATAAAAAATGAAATCAAATAAAAATAAACAGTCTAGTATCTCTAGTCTATTCAAGCAAACATGATTGAATAAAAATAAACTACCTTCTTCAATGAATTTAATATCAACATTAAGAAATTGATTCGCGAATTTGGGAGGATCAAAATAAAAATACGAAGTGAGTTCAGAAAGTATCCAATAATGTGTATATGTCAAGAACAGGTTGCACAGCCTTGATGTAACTTAGCGCCCTATCAGATTTATTGCGCATGCGTGATTCAAATGGTAGACAGATGGCATTGAAGGATTTGATGTAACGATCGATCTCTTCTAGAAAATGCATCTTTCCATTAATATACATTTCTCTGCAATAAAATTTTGCGAAGAAAGGGAATAGCGTTCAGACAGTGGACGAGATTAACGAGAATTCAACGAGGTAGTTGATGTAGAACGCCCACAAAGATTATTTTAAAATGTGTCGGAGAAACGCGAATAATTTTGTGGAGATCGTCAAGGAGGAGAGAACTCTGAAGACTCAAGGAAGTTTTTTTTTTGTTTTTCGTTTATAAAAGATGGATACTTTACGGATAGTCCTGTGTCGAAGTGAATTTTGTGCGTAATCCAAATGTACGTGAAAGGTCCGCTTTGTGTGGAAGACAAAAAAAAAATAAATAAAATAAAATAAAGGAAATATTTTGTGAGCAAGACGGCAGAAGAGAAATGGGAGAAGGAAGAGTAGGCCTCTTTTGTGCGGGGAGAGAGAGAGAGAGAGAGAGAGAGTAGGTGAAAAAGAAAGGAGGGGACAAGAAGAGAGTAGGAAGTGGTGTGAGTAGAAAAATAGTGGTGGAAGGAGAAACAATATATTTTTGAAAGAGAAGAAGGGGGTGAGTGAAAAATAAAAAAAAAACTAAAATGGATTTATCGTGTAACTAACAGAGAGAGCGGTAAGAAAAATTGTGGCAAATGAAGAGTGTGTATAACACTTGGCGTCCGTAGGTGAAGGTAGGGGCGGGGAGAAAGTGGCAAATGGAGCTTGTATATATTAGGTTGGTGCAAAAATAATGACGTAATAATGTCGTTTTTTGACGTTAAAAAATACGTCAAAAACGACATTATGCAATCATTTTTGCACCAACCTAATAACAGTTATTAGGTTGGTGCAAAAATAATGACGTAAGAATGTCGTTTTTTGACGTATTTTTTAACTGGGACCCTAACAGGTGCTACCACCCGGTCAGTGTAGACCTGGGAACACCAGCAATTAAGAGGTGGTTCCTTAAAACCTCCTGATCAGAAGCCTTGCTGTTGGACGTAGTTTATTGTCTTACCCAGGACGGCATATTTTGGGATTGTAAGAATAATTCTTTTTGCTTTCTAGGAGTGAATATTGTATTGACAATCATTTCTAGATACAAGTTCTACTATTTAACTCATAGGTGGAGGGGCAGAACGGTATGGATTTATACCTTTCCTTGCGCGGTAATGAATGTAACGAACCTATAATTCCGATGTATTCTTCATTACGCCACACGGATACTCGAGCTTGGATCACCTGGTATTCTCAAGCGGTCACCCATCTTGGTACCGACCTGGTTCAACTTTGCTTAACTTCGGTGATTGGTTGACAACCTGTGTTTCAACGTGATATGCCCGTAAGTCTGTTCATCTATGAGGAAATAGTCCTGCGTTTACCGCCATATGTTCTAGTACTTGTAACGAAATGCAGCTTCTTCCCGCGAAGCACTGCTCTGTGGTACCAGCTCCCAAGAGGATGTTTCCCCGATCACTACAAACTTAAGCTTAGGGTTAACCGGCATCTCCCTTTTATCTGCATAAACTACCTTTTAAAGTAACCCTCTAACCTCGGACCTTGAAAAGGGTGAACCTTACTGAAAAAAAAAAAAATGAAATAAATAAAGTTTTGTAGTCTTTTTTTATGTTTCTAACGATTTTTTTCCTGTTTCTTAATACTTTGCTTAGCTTTTTTTTTTGGCAAAAGTTTTGACTCCAGCGCAGCATGTCTTTATTTCACTCGTCTAAAAACGACTCGACGTTTGGCAATAAACAAGCCATTGAAAGTGGGTTTTGTGGAATAGAGAGTTTTATTTGCCTTTCTCTACGTGACACTCATAATATCGTCCATTTTACCTTAAGAACTGAAGAAGCGAGTGCCAATCCCAGGAAAACATTATTTTATTACTTTGTCTGAAGAGTTACAGCCCTTGGTGTAGTTGGTGGGTGAATGGATTGAAGGGGGAAAGAAACGTGCGCCAATTTGGCATATGTGCGTTAAAAGACACCTGCTGAGACGCAAACCTCGAACCGTGAAACACTAATCATATCGATGGGTAATTGGTGGCCATATATTCTTGCAGATTGCTATCATTGTAGTGAGTTACGTTATGTTAAGTTGGTAATATAACGTCATATCTACGCTCGTTGCGTTAATTGAATGTTGAATAGCAATGCTATGGGGAAACAAACACAGTGAATTAATAGAAAGTAAGAGGTAGGCCCTGTTTGCACTTGAGTCAAAACGTACTCTGAGATCAGGTTTACACTCGATTCAAAAAGCTAGACATTGGTCCGGTTTATAATAGAAACAAAATGATAACCATATGAAATTCATAATGGAATAAAAAAAATAACTAGTCATAGATTCGGTTTACACTAATATCAGAAAGGGAGACAGGTCGAGTTTACACTTACATCAGAAAGAAAGTCGTAGGTTCGGTTCAAACCCCTGTCCTTAAGAAAGACGTATGTCCGGTTTTATGATAAAAAAAAAAAAAATAGTAAAGAATCTAGATATCTATTCGGTTTATACTCAAGTCAAAAAACCAGATATGAGTCCGATTTAAAATACAACTAAAATGGTAGACATAGACCCGTTTAACAATTATTTCAAAAAGAAAAATATGCATCCGGTTAACCCTTGACTCAAAAAGCTAAATATTGATACGGTTTTATACTAGAGAGACAAAGGTAAACAATGATCCGTTTTACAATCGTATCAGAAGAGAAGGCATAGGTTCAGTTTACACAACAGAAAAAAAACGTACAGCTAGGTTCGATTTACACTCTAATCAAAAATGTAGACACACAAGATTAAAAAAGGCAGACGTAGATTCAGTTTACACTAGATTAAGAACGGCAGGCTTAGATTCAGTTTATACTCGACTCAAAAAGGCCGACATAGGTCTGGTTTACTCTAGATTAAAAAAGGGGGACATAGATTCAGCTTATACTCAACACAAAAAGGTAAACATGGTTCAAGTTTACACTAGCTTAAAAAATGTAGACATAGATTCAGTTTATACGCGACTCAAAAAGGTAGACATAGGTCCGGTTTATACTAGGTTCATAAAGCTAGATATAGGTCTGGTTTACACTAGATTAAGAACGGCAGGCTTAGACTCAGTTTATACTCGACTCAAAAAAGCCGACATAGGTCCGGTTTACTCTGGATTAAAAAAGGCAGACATAGGTTCATTTTATACTCGACTCAAAAGGGTAGACATAAGTCTGATTTACACTAAATTAAGAATAGCAGGCATAGATTCAGTTTATACTCAACTCAAAATGACAGACACTGGTCCGGTTTACTCTAGATTTAAAAAGACAGACATAGATTTAGCTTATACTCAACATAAAAAGGTAAACATAGGTCAGGTTTACACTAGCTTAAAAGAGGTAGACATAGATTCAGTTTATACTCGACTCAAAAAGGTAGACATAGGTCCGGTTTATATTAGGTTGGTGCAAAAATAATGACGTAATAATGTCGTTTTTTGAAGTTAAAAATACGTCAAAAAACGACATTATTACGTCATTATTTTGCACCAACCTAATACATAGTTCACAAAGCTAGATTTCTGTCTGGTTTATACTCGGGTCAAACGCCTCTTAGATGTGGCCTTCTTTTCATGATAAGTGTCTTAACTATTTGCAAGGAAGGCAATCATCGCATTCTCAGCCATGCCGACAGAGCAATATTATAGTGACTTCGATAACCCCGAAGTTCCTATACTTGTATAAAGCCAGAGAGGACATTCGGTCCTGAGATTAAAATTAAAAGCCGGAGGAAGATGTGTTCGTGCATTTTCCAGGTTCAATTGTGCGAAATGAAAGAAGCCGACAGTTTGTTTTCCTGTCCGTTAGGCCCAAATATTTGGCATTAAATTGTTTCCGAAGGCCTAATCAAGAGCACTCTGCAGACTGTTCCGTTGTATCATACTGAGTGTCTGGATATCCGATTGCTTCAAGCCGGGAACGAAACCCGACATATTTGGCATCAGTCGCAGATTCTCACCCCTACGCTATTGGCACCCGGCAGAGAAAAACGAATTTTTGCCTATTTATCTTTTCATAAACACGCCAGTGGCCTAGAGGACTTAATCCGTTTGGGAGAGTCTTGCGTGCGGGTGGGCGCGCACGCACGCGTGTGTATGTGTGTGTGTGTGTGTGTGTGTATGTGTGTGAGTGAAAGAGACAGACTGAAAGACAACCAGAGGAGAGAGAGAAATAAAGATAAAGAGAGTGGAAGTCGGATAATATAACGGTTAGCGGGTCAAAAAAGAGAAATCAGCAGGCCGGGTTCGAATTTCGTCGGACTTCGTTAAGTTCACTTTCTCCCAGATTCGATTGGGAAAGGCATGCACACATCATTCTTCCTCCAATTATGAGTTTTCTGTATATATATATATATATATATATATATATATATATATATATATATGAAGAAAAATATACAGAAAAAAAAAACAAACAAAAATCTTAATATGCAATTATTAATTTTATGTTAATATAAAGTCAACGTCGGACGTTTCGGTCTATTTTAGACCATCTTCAAGGACATTTTCATTTAAACATAATTAACATTAGAACAAATAAAAATTCAACATGAAAAGACGATGGACACGAGATACATTAATACAGCATAATTTTATATAAGGATATTTGTTTGTTTTTCCGTATATATTTTTTCATACTGTCGGATCTATATCCATATATTATATATATATATATATATATATATATATATATATATATATATATATATATATATATATATATTACGGCAGATAGGACTCTCCACCAACCAGCCTAAGAGAAGGATAATTTAAACCTGAGGTGAGCTACTGGAGACTTTGTGACACATTGTGCACTTTTTCTTTTTTTTCATTAGTTCTTCCGAAAGGTATGGTTGGTGCAATACAATATTTAATCAAATAATATGCGCGTTTATTCTAACGATTTCATTGTTTAGAATGTGATTTCCCCGCAGGTTTGAGCACTACGGGAGGCCACATTCTCGGTAAGACTCTCGAATGCACAGAGCGATAGATGTAAGTCACACAGTTAAAAAAAAAAAAAAAAGAACAATTTAGTGCGTCTAATCAAACTCGTTTATCCACTAAGAAATATAACATTTAATAACACACGCAGACACAAACACACACAAATATATCAGCATTGAAATTTGGCCGTTGACAGAACAAATATAAAATATTTATAAATATAGCATGTTTCATTTTTAATAAAATGCTCAGAAAATGAGATATGAAAAAAAATTATGTTCTTTGATTCTCATTGGTTAAAATAATATATATTATATAAATATATATATATATATATATATATATATATATATATATATATAATAAAGAAAGAACAGTAAGATATATAATCCGGTGTTCTTATAGATATTTTTATTTTTACAAAATAGGGCTCAATGTAAATTTACAGAGCATTAATATTATAAATTAATTGATTTAAAATATTGTTATTTCCGCTACACAGTTCTAACCATGTTTCAAAAATGGAAGCTAAAAGCCCCGGATTTAATTTTGTAATTAAATTAAAGACATTAGTTCCATTTCATCCTCAAACGAATTTTGGAGTAACTTTTAAAATTACTGGGTTTTAAAGACACAGCTAAAATCATAATTCATGTTTCCAAAGTTACAGATGAATCCAATTTACCAGACGAGGGGTGTCTCGGTGTCTATATTTTAATGTATCAGTTATTGCTACGTTTTGGTAGTGGGTAGGGATGTATTTTTCAATGAAATCTAACATCCGTTAAAAGCGTGTCGTCTGGATTTAAATTTTTTATTTTTCTATTGTTAACGGCTAAAATTATTACGGCATTTTTTTCCTCGTATATTTAAAGATTTTTGGGGGTGTTTAGGTAAGAATACTTTTTATTTAACTACAATTTGAAATATTTTTACTTTTAATTTTTAATATACTATATTTCTTTCAAGAACAATTAAATGTAATTAGAATCCTTAACAGTTTGTAGAATTATTATCACATCAAGTATATTACAAATTTTAAAAAATTTTATATTTAAATATTATTTAAGTAAAATTTTCATTTCTCTGATTTAGTAAACTTTATTTATTTATTTAATTACAATTTAGGAAGTTTAGGTTAGAATTCATTTTAACTTTTAGCTTCCATTTTTAAAACATGGTTGGAACTGTGTAGCGGAAAAAACCATATTTTAAATCAATTTATATATATATATATATATATATATATATATATATATATATATATATATGTATATATATATATATATATTTAAATATATATACATTTCTCTCTCTCTCTCTCTATATATATATATATATATATATATATATATG